GAACGAACCGGTCCTCTTCCTGACTTGCTGGGACCCACAGTCATCTTTTCTCCTGTGCACAAACTTTGCTAGTTAAAGCCAACACTAACTAGCCGGTCAGTGAGCATCAGCAGCGCACCGTCGCAAGCCGCACAGCACAGCCTGGCACCGAGCCAGAGAGCGCGGATCGGACAGCAACAGACTGCAACTGTTTCTTTGTGCCCGCAGGAGATCTGAATCCCCAGAAATTGGATGAGTATTCAACTTCAATGCATTACAGCTCGAGAATTCAATTGTTGTCCCAACCAGTTGATATCAATTTAATTCCTAAGAGTTATGTACTGGTTTTGAGTATCTAATGTAGAAGTTGTAACCAAGTTCATTTACGAAACGGTCTTGATAAACTGAACGTATGTCCTCTTGATATGTCCTCTTGATAACAAGATATCTTGTTATCTTTAGCCTGTATTAGTGTTAATGCCGATATAATTCTTAAATACTACTCTGTGCTCATATTATCTGGATGACTGAAATTTCCCTCTTAACCCAGCTGGTGATCCTGTTTCCACGTGATCTGCTGTGTAGTGGGGCTGCTGGTATTGATATTAGTTATATAGTGAAGGTGGACAGGCTTTGTGCATTTGTGAGCAGGTTTACATATTTGATCTTATTTAGTCCTTCTGTTTCTATATATAATAGTGTGGTGTGGAACCTATAAGAAAAAAAAATATTTTGGTGCAGTGATTTTAAATACAGGAGTAAAGCCCTTGTAACTTTAAACTCCATATTGATCAATGTGGTGATTTCTTTCTCCTATATGTTTAGTTATTGTTTTTAAAGAAACAGTAAAGAAATGTTTTAAAATAGGACAGTATATGAAAATGCTCAAATCTATTTCGTGATTGTCTGCATTCTGGGTTTTAATGGGTCCTGTGATTTTATAGACACTGGTACAAATATGCCTCTCCTCCCTATTACCCACTTTTTATCCATCCATTTTCTAACTGCTTCATCCAATTCAGGGTTGCAGGCAAACCTAAGCCTATCCTGACAAGCAAAGAGCAAGAGACAGGATACACCCTGGATGGGACACTAATGCATTGCAGGGCACACAAGGACACAAACAAGAACATACTCATACCAGGGACAGTTTTACCAGTAGCCAACTAACATACCAGTATGGTAACCCCAATTTAATGCTCCATCAGTACATTAAGTGAGTCTTTATATGTATTTATACAAAAAAATAAGACAGTTGGTCTCTTTGGTTTTGTTGACATCTGGACTATCCAAGAATAATCTGAACAAAGGCCATAGCTGAAATGTACTGAGTTCCCTTGTCTACCTTGTAACCAGACCTCAAGAAGGCAAACAGTGCACAGACCATTTTAAACACCAAAGTCAGCAAAATGTTACTTTACAATGCAAGCTGCTAGGCAATACCTGGCAAAAGCTCTTTCTCTCTCTCCTCTGTCTGTACCAGGACCCTCCCAGCACAGAGAAGTTGCCATGAACAATTCCAGACCAGCTCCATTTTACCAGCAGAGTTTTAACTCACCAAAGACATTTGGAAAATGGGACTTTGTGTAGAAACCTTCATTATTCACATTGCAATTCTTGTCAAATGTTGTCAAATGGCAATTAGATCAAATGTTCATGTTTAGTTCATGATACTAAATGGATATTTACTTGTGTTGGAGAACATAAAATATATTTAGTTATATGAAACTACAGATCCAGCCATTCCAAATGAACTACAAATAATGCCCCAGAATATGGCATACTGTAACGTAGATGATACAACGTTACAACTTAGCATGTTTTTCTCAGGCACAGTAAAAAACAAAAAGATGCATAGCTTTATTTAATCCACACACAAAAGCAAATCTACAAACTATAAATATTTTCAATACACTTTGAAATGCATATTATTAAAGAAGAAATTTGTAAGTCTTTTAAAACTAAATGTATGAGCGGGCAGGTAGGAAGTATGGATCCTGTACAAGCCTCAGGAGAGAGAGAATACCAATCCAAATCGCAAAGCAAAACGTATACCAGGAAGCAAGCAAGAAGGTCAGAAATTGAAAAAAGACAACCAGAGAGCAACATTTCAAAATGAGGGGCAGGCTAGAAGATCAAATACTGAATGTAGACTAGTAAAGAAATAACGCGCACTTGGGAGCTCAACGAGAATCTACAATAGTGAGCGGGGAAGTGAGGAAAGAGGGGAACTAAAATAATGATGGGAGTGAACGGTGATAGGTACATTACTTGCAGCGTGAGTATTTGATAAACACAGTGCATGTGGGAATGCGAGAGGGGACAGAGACGTGTGTGGAATGTGTAAAACTAAATAGCCTTTCTTAACTACTGGTTTACCACATCACTGGACTTGAGACCTCTTTGGGCTACATCTGCATTTCCTTATGAAGGCTACAATAAGTCTTTTTAAGGGTATCACTGCAAGTTTGTGAAACATGTATTAAATTAAAATATTCATATCAAATCATTATGTAGTTGAAACTGCCTCTTATTAGGGAACTTCTATTTCCAGAAAAAATAGCTGTAGAAAGGTTTCTAGGTTATCTGGTTGTAATGAAAGTAAAAGCTCATAAAATATGTATTTACAAGCATGTTTTGTGTTACAGAAAACACTATACCTGTACAATGAAGAGGTCTACTTTCACAGTATTATTCCAAAATAGTTCTGTAGCGGATCTTTATTCTTGTGTGCTAGTCAGAAGCAGAATGTGTGACTCACAATACTTGCATTTCTATATTAATACTAAAGGAACTGAAAAAAAAATGTAATACATAGTGTAGAGGTTTACAGTACATTACGTGAGACTTTCTGTTTCAAGTCCAGATAAGCAAATGCATTTGAATGTCAATGAAAAGATATGGCACATTGCCAAATGAAGTAAAAATAATATTAAATGTAGATCTTTAATAAGCCACCTGAAGTGGTGTTAACAAGGGTATGCCATTTTGCGAATTAAGCATTTTTAAGTAATTTTAGCTGTCTAGACCAAAATGGGCTTTTTCTGCAAGAAAAAAAAGCTCATAAGCTAATTGGAAACTTTGCATAATGTATGTTAATCCAATTAGTTCAAATGTTTGAAAAAAGGCAATCAGATGCATTTTAATAAAAATAATTAGTATAACACGCTCACCACATAATTTGGGTGACATGCTGTAACATAAAATGTTAAAAAATTAAAAAGTGTATAATAACAATAGTAGGATGGTAATTATCTTTTAACCCTGCACATGTAAAAAGTATTGATCTTGATATGTTTGGTTTATTTTGTATTGAGAGCAAACAGAATGTATACAAGTAATAAATAATTTATATATCATGGTTTACTTTTTGTTAGATGGAGGCAACATTTATATTTGCTTGTTGTTTTGGGTATCCTAGAGAGACGGTGAAGAGTAGCGTGATGCAAGCTACATTACATACACTTCCGGATCTTTCGCGTCGCTTAATATAGGTCGCTTCGCTCTACTACCCAGGAAAGTACGGCAGGAAAAGTAGACTTCACTTCCCAGTATGCAACTCGGAAACGTGATCTTACATTTGTGACGTATTCATCTTTCGAAAAGAAGAGGGAGAGTCCAGAGCATTTCTTGAATTTTGTTGCTGAGAATATAGATTAAAAGTTTCTACAGCGGTAATTACCTCGTTTTTAAGATCTCATTAGTCTTAAGATACGTCATTTTAGAAGACTTTGTAATAATAGACATAATAGTTGACGAGCGGTTAACCGACTACTTCGGCTTGAATCGTAACTTAAAATGTAGTGTGCAGAACTTGAGCTGGGCCTCTACGTACTGTTTAGAAAACTCCTGTATATTTCAGCAGTTAACCTAATTTAGAAGTAAAAGTACTGCATTTCGTCCGTAATTAATGCGAAATGCAGCACTCTAACTAGATAAAGAATAACGTTTTTAGTTCATAGGAAAATTCCTAGGAAATTGTTTGAATATCGTGGCATTCTGGATTCGAAAGTTTATCGTTGTACACTATATTGCCTGGCCTATTGTTAATATTTGTTTTCATCGACGTGAAGAAAAAATGCAGAGATCATTAAGGCTGAAGCGTGAACTGCAGTTCATCAGCACAGAACCACCACCGGGCATATCCTGCTGGCAAAACGGTGGTCAGATGGATGACCTGAGGGCTCGTAAGTGTATCTGTGCTTCACGCCAACATCGCTTATTTAGGCATACATTGTTTGTTTGCTTTGTTTAATATGTCGAAAGTGCTTTTGGATTTTGCCGACATTCTTGATACTTATTGACAAATCTAGCATATTTGTTATTGATTTTTTTTTTTAATTGGAGTTAACTTTCAACTATGTTTTCTATGTATTGGAAGTGTTTGAACTTCAAATTTATCTCTGCAGCGCAAACTTTTTTTTACAAAAGCGTCAAATTTAACTTTAAAAAGTAAAGCTTCATTTTATAACCTCTGTTTTCAATTAGTTATTTTATTGGTTTTATCTATCGTGGTCTTCATCTGGATTTTCTTGGTGAGAAGTTGCTACAAAGGTTTACATGATAGTTGTTATCACTATGGAATTCAGTGGTCTGCCGTTTTATATTAAAAAGTATCTAGTAGAAAAAAAAATAAAATGATTGCAGAAATTATTTTTTCTGCAGTCCAAAAATGCAAAAAATTTTTTTTCAGAGATTGTGGGTGGTGTGAACACTCCTTTCGAAGGAGGAGTATTTTCATTGGAGATAAAGATTCCTGAAAGGTAAGGATGACCATATTCAAAAAGGAATGTTTTTCACTCAGCTTTATTTTTGCCCAGGCAAAAAAACAGATATTCCATGCTTTCTGGGGGGGCTGAATAGTCTGTTTCATATTTGCTGTTTGTAATATTAAGAATTCAAAGAAAATCTTATTATTTTTATTTTTGGGCTAAAAAAAACTTATTTAGATATACATAGGGTATTTAATATATATAGAGATATGGTATATAAAATTATTGCATTGTTGCTGATACATTAGAGATGTAAAACAAACAACTACAAAATGAGAATTTAAATTGCATTAAAAAGGTTTACCATATACTGTCACATAATGTACTACATATTGTATGTATGATTAAAAACATGAATAACCCTCTTTCATGTAATAATTAAACTACTGATGTATTGGCTTTAAGTTAAAATATCATTTCTGCACCTAAACAACAGTAATTGCAAACTTAGTCACTTTTTAAAATTAAAATTTTACTCAAAATAAAAAAAATCTCAAAATAAAACAAAACCCTCCTCTGCATCGAGTTAGCACTTTCTCCCTCTGCCTCTGCCCCAAACTTTAGTTGAGCCTTTAAAGTTGTCTCCAGGCTGTCAGTCCCCACACTGCTTGATTACAATGCTATGATTGAGATCTGGATATTGGGCCGGGGGCAAGGAGAGGCCCATTTACTGGTTTGCTAGATTCATCTCTTGATCCTAATTTATTGTCCTGCTGGTTTAAAAGTTGCGCTTAACATCCTTTGGTTTGGCTTGTTTTCATCTGTCTCTGCTGTTCGTCCACCCAAGACCCCATTGGTAGGACCGAATTGTAAATAAGCAAATTTGTGAATGTTAAATTTGAATATCTCGAGACTTTACTGTATTCATTCACTACGCATCATAAGTCATGCATCAACACCAAGTGAGCCATCCACTCCTGCAGTTTGGTGCTATTCAGATGTCCATGTCATGTTGTTTACACCTTTTAACACAGTATCTTTAAATTTATAAGGTGGTAATTTAAGAACTGCTGGTGCTTACATAGCTGGAAGGTCATATGGTATGCCTCCCTGGAATGTTTTTCAGAATATTGCTTTCTGGTGCACTTTGATCATGAAAGTTAATTGCAGTCCCAATTCTTCAGATCAGTTATTAAATCTCATTAACAAAATAATTGATGGTTTCAAAATGTAATAGGGCCCCATTTGTCTCACCAGAACCAGAAGTTTTATTGCCTCGTTCTGAATCGCAGATAATGAAAGCAATGACAGATGACAATGACAGATTAAGTCGATTTCAATTTCATATTGTAAACATTTCTTTTTTTGTTTTAATATTGCAGTAGGCTGCTGCTCATACTTATTTCTGGAATTCTTTGAAGAGCTGGCTTTAGACAAAAATTATTAAGGGGAACACTTAAATTTTGTTATATAGTGCGTTAACCTTAGTGTAGTTCTTAATTCTCATTTTAAGTGTACAGACTTAAAATGGAGGCGTCTCAAGTCTTTCTTCATAGTGTATCTTTAAAGAGCTGGGACTAAATTCGTAATTTATGAGCATGCAGAAATGTTGGCAAATTATTTTGCACATATTCATTTTCAAATGCAGGTTTTAGTATTTGATTTTCTCCCTTATCTTTAACCTATTAATTCTCAACTTAAATAGCATATTTTTTGAATGAAATATAATGTATTATTGTTACTTTAAAAACTTTTTGTGCACCAACCTTTTCTGTATGGAAATATATATGCTATATGCGTATGCTGGGAAAGAAATACCCCCCTGAAGTGAATACATGTTCCAAGTTAAGTAACTTATTGTTTAATATTTTATTAGGAACAAAACTGGTGCTTACTTTATTTGAATAAATATACACTGCCAAAATGTATTGACTTTTCATGTTTCATATTGTCTTGCACTACAGTTATGATACATTTTCACTAGATATATATACGCACCGTATATAATGTATACAGTTGTGAGAAAATTCCAAAGGGTTCACAAACTATCTGGATTTCTGCATGAAGATTAGATCACACTTAAGAAGCCATTCATCTAAGTCATAATAATAAATAGACAGTCTTATTTAACAAACAACACATACATTTTACATTGCCATATCTTTTTTTAACAAATGGCTTAAACAAGGTCACTGATGGAAAAAGTATGTGAACCTCTAGGATAATGAGATCTTGAAAAGAGGGTAATTGGGCTCAGGTATTACAATCAATTGAAGTGTGGGTTTGACCTGCCTTGCCGACTAAATAAAAAAATCACACAATTTTGGTCACCTGCTCTTCACAACTGAATTTTGTTGCCCGATCAAAAGAAATTTCAGATGACTTCAGAAGTAGAGTTGTTGAAGCCCATAAGACTGGAAAGAGTTACAAAAGGATTTCTAAAGACTTGGGCCTCCTACAGTCCACAGTCAGGCAGATAGTTTACAAATGTAAGAAATTAATCATCGGTGCTACTCTCCCTAGGAGTGGGCATCCTACAAAGATCAGTACAAGGGCACACCATAAAATCTTCAAACAGGTGACAAAGAACCCTAGGGTAACAGCTAAGGATCTGCAGGCATCTCTTGCACTTGATAATAATAATCTGTGTTCTTGAGTCTACCATAAGAAAAGCACTGAACAAGAGTGGTGTTCATGGGAGATTACCACGTAGGAAACCACTGCTCTCCAAAAAAAACATTGCTGTCTGTCTCAAGTGTGCTAAAGACCACCTGGATTTCCACAGAACTACTAGAATAATGTTCTGTGGACAGACAAGACAAAAATTTAACTTTTTGGTAAATGTACACAGCGTTATGTTTGGAGAAAACAAAACACTGCATACCAACACCAAAACCTCATACCAACTGTGAAGCATGGTGGAGGAAGTATAATGGTGTGGGGCTGCTTCGGTGCATCAGGGCCTGGATGGCTTGTAATCATTGAGGCACCAATGAATTCCAAGTTGTACAAGGAAATTCTACAGCAGAATGGCAGGGCGTCTGTCCGTGATCTGAAACTCAAAAGATTTTGCCATCTTCTGCTAACCTGTTTAAAGGTTAAGATTAAAGGTTAAGTTAAATCATTGAAAAAAATGAAGAAGTGACCTTGTCCTAATCCTGATTTCTGTGGTACTCCACTAATTAAATCATCCCCAATTTGAGCATTCATACTTAATCTGTATGTGGTTGTTTGATATGCATTAACCTGTTCTCAATCCAAAGGCCCAAAGGCAAACATTAGCTTGAATGCTTACTACCTGCAATTTGAAAATTGCTCTTATGTGGAAGTTTTATCAAAGTCTGCTGCATGTTACACATCGTTATATACTCTGTATATTACTGCTGTAGCATGTTTAAAAGAAAGCAAGTTAAGCAAGACTTTTAAAAAAAGATTGCTGTTCTAGAATTGTTTTAAGTGACCAGATACATTTGTATTTTCAAAGGACTGACATACTCTGATAGTATAAGAATCCTTTTGGGTTTAAATAGAGAAGACTGAGTGGACATGATTCCAAATAACCCAAATAATAAAATTCTTTGAGACTTCGTGATCTACAGGCTTCATTTTTGTTAATGTACTTTAGACAAATAAAGTGAAAGAAACATAAGTTCGTGTCTGTTTCAACAAAGCTGTGTTCTTAATCGCGCTTTATTTCCAGTTTTAACAAGTGTTTGATCAAGTATTGGGATTATAAATGAATGTGGCTTTGCAAGTAAGAGTCATTTCAGTTTTATTTTTTATGGTGCTATCAGCAACAAGTTGTCACAATATGCTTATTTACAGTCAGGATTATAAAATACCAAAAGGCAGTTTGTGCAAGTGCATGCAATGTACTCTATGCAGTTAGGCATAGAGGAGGGAAAAAGCAGACTCCGTAATTAACCTCTGGAGTATGGTCCGATGGTTTTCTATCCGTACAGGCACTAGCTATGTGTCCTGTTGCAGTATGTGTGTATTATTTGAATGATGTGTGAGATATGGTGGCAGAGAGTTGTGAATTTTGTTGTGGTTGCTGTGTGAAAGCAGAGTGTGAAAGGGAGTGGGTGTTTTTCCTTTCCCTAATCTTATAGTAGAATGTCACGGACAAGTCAGGGTTTTACATCAGGTGGGGCAGGTGCTATCGGAGGAAAGGTTTAGTCCATCTTTCTCATGAATGACTGGGCTCAGTGCTAGCTGAAGAGACCATGGTGAAGGGAGAAGCGTGGAAAAAAAAAGGCAGGAAAAACTGCTAGTCTCTTGCACTAATCTGCTTTAAGTCATAAGGTCTAATTTTGCCTCCTCATATTTTGGACATCATTGACTGTTATATTTATAACTAATCAGGAACTGAAGTGTTCAAGAGATGAGTCTTTAGTCTGCTTGAAATAGATGGGGCATCTTTAACATGGTGTGGTTGTTATTTCTTTGGTTTTTGAAACCTGTTAAATAAAAGCTCTGACACCTGCATTATCTTATTGTTTTTATGGATTTTGAGGTGGTCAGCCTCCTGTAACTTAAGTTATCTTATTGGTATGTATCGAGTGGAACAGGTTACTGACATATGTGAGGTCTACACTCTTGGCCAAAAATATTGGCACCCTTGCACTTTTTGTAAATAACTCACAATTGCCTCTAAAATAAGTTGACATTGACCAAAGTATTTGGTCTCCACAATTCTTTGTCACTGTTAATATTACAGGACCTTTGTTTTTGATTTAGAATTTAATATATCCTTATAAATAAAAAAATAAAAAGAAATGGCATTGACAAAATTGACACCCCAGACTCAGTATTTGGTAGCACAGCCTTTGGTCAAAATAACTGCAATCAAGTGCTTCCTATAGCCATCAATGAGCTTCCTGCACCTCTGTACTGGCAGTTTGCTCCACTTCTCCCGGAGTTGAAGGGTGTCTTCTCCCAACTACTGTTTTCAGAGCTCTCCACAGGTTTTCAGTGGGATTTAGATCTGGACTCATTGCTGGCCACTTCAGAGCAGTCCAGCGTTTTGTCTTGAACTTTGTCTTGGGTGC